GTATCTCATGCTTGTTTGAAGGTGGGACTTCATGTAGCATTTTCTGTACATAACTGCATTAATTCTCAGCTAAGATAGGGATGTAAAAAAATTTAAAAATATGAAAAGTGAACATGACTGTAAAAAATCAAGGTATGGTGAAAATAAATTTTGATATTTCGTTACGTTTCATACTAACATGTAGAAGTTTAATTATTCTTCAAAATGGTATAAGATACTTTAGGCCAGCCTTTATCGAGTCAAAAGTTAATTTGATAAAACGTCCTTGATAAATATATGTAATGATAAATGTTGAAGTGAATATCACAGTATCACAGTAAGAGTTTTCTTCTTATATATATGTGTGTTTTATAAATTCTACTTCGTAAGAGAGTAAAGACAGGTTGAATAATAATTTATTATTAGTTAGATAGGTCCCATCCAAATTCCGAAAACAACATTTTTATACCTCGGCAGAGCTGAGACACAGGCGCGTGACGTTTTTAACTTTTCTTTTCATAAATAAAATATTCCGTATCTTATAATAATAAATAAATATATCCCCTATGTTATTTTTATATAGGGGATATTTTTATTTATGAAAAGAAAGGTTAAAAAAAGTCAAGCATCTGTGAGCTGAGAGACACCTATAATCATATATGATTCGCAGTGTCCCTTCTTACAAAAAGAAAACTTGACCATTAAAACCAAACAAATTTAGTTGATTGTACAATCTTTCAAAATTAATTACATGTTTTAAAGAGGCTGGGTGGTTGTGGCTATTTTTAGACTATTTTGATCTCCTTTAGAAGAAGAGCTCCATATAAAGATATAATAAAATGATCAAATTTTAAAACTAAAATTTATGAAATTTTTCTTTGCAAAATGATAGTTGACAGCTTAAGATATCATATCCCCAAATTTAAGTTATAACTGGTGGTTAATAAAAAAATAATTTGTTGACCCCCTAGCCTCCTTAAGTTTAAAATTTCTGGCATAAAAAACACTTTCGCTCTCTCTCTCTCTCTCCCTCTCTCTCTCTCTCTCTCTCCCTCTCTCTTTTAATAAAGATTAAAACCATTTTAAAATTAATGAAAGATAGAAAGCTATTCGCAGTAATGTACTTTGGTCGTTGTCAGAAATTCTTTTGTAAAACGGACCTTAGTTACGACCTCAAACCACTAAATTGTGATTGTAAATTATACGTTCTCATCATTTAGATATGTGGTAATTAAATTACACATTAAAAAGTTAGTATTTCCTCATAATTTTCATGATTGCACGTTTCCAAAAATAAAGGAAAAAGCAACTCTTACTTATGTGGAAATTCACTTCTACCTAGAATAATTTTTTACCCAACGTCTTATAATTAGCTGCGTAATGTTGGTATGTTTAATTTGCAAACTGTTAATTACCAACTCACTATTCCTCCTTTTTTAATAGCAAAGAAGAGTTTTGGTTAAATATTTAGTTCGCATTAATTTCAGGCATTTCTCGTGCATGTATTGTACAGTATGTTATACAAAAGTTTACATATTTTATCGATGAACCACAATATACCATCTAAACCCTCAGACGGTAATTGCATCAAATTGAACACGAACTTCCGTTCTACTACAAATGTCAACATTTCTTATCAGCTGTATGTAAGTAACCGAACATTTGACAAAATTATCCTTCAGTTACGCACAAATTGAGCAACCATTGTTTAATGTAAACACACTTAATCTTCCCTCGGATGGGACTGTTTAGGGTGAACTCTGTATACCTGGGATAGAAAGGAACGTGAAGTTGTTCATTTATTTCACTTGCAATCTTGACTTTCTTGCAAGATGAGCCGCTTTGCAATCGCAGTTTTCTCGTATATTTTGCTGCCGTTTTCTTCAATGGCGGGCGATGTTTAACAGCAGAATCTGAGCTTGGGGCGAAAATTAGCCACTTGTATCATGAAGTAGAATTAAACAAAAACAGAATTTTCAGTATCTCGGACGTGTACAGTAAAGAAATTTCTAAACTGGGGGACAATCATCATGCAATAAAGGACAGACTGGAAGGAGTTGTCAACCAGCTCTCAGGAGCCAACACCAAAATTATGACCATGTCGCTGGATTTTTGCCACTCTTATGTATATATGTTTACGTATTTTAAATTTTTTATTGTGACAGATGTAACATTTATTTAATATCAAACAATACTGCTATATATTTCATTGACATCAGATTCGTTTTAAATGAATCCTACCAAAGAAGGTGCTAAAATTTCAAGCATTTGCGATGGATAATTGCTGGGAAAACTGTAATGAAAAATTGGTATTGACAGACACACAGCTAGACAGACACAAAAGTTAAAACAGTATCTCCCCTTTATGTATAATTAAAACATATGTTACCAGGTCTAGGCGGTGAGGGGTCTGTCTGTGTGATGCTGTGATGTTCGTACAGTTTGGAGATCAGTTTGACAGGATTTCCCGCCAACTGCACTAAATCAGGCTCTCCCACTTTGTTTACAAACAGAATTTGTTTGTTGCCAAACGCTGATAGGCACCCAAGGACTTTCTGTATGCTGCCTTGGCTTTTTCCTTGGTTGGATTCTACAAATTTATTTTAACATTCGTGTGTACTTATCAAATATCCTTAGTGAATTATAACGGTTAGGAACAGATTTTGTATGTTTATATGTAGATTTTCATAAGGACAAAAATTAAGACTTTCAGTTGTATTCTTACGTCATCAGGAACTGATTCATACAATAGCTCTGCGTATGTCATGCAGCCAGCCAGAGCAATTACTTTCTCTGCTCCTAAAACAAAATCAAAGCTTTAGAAAGTATAACTCTATAAATACAATCAAATAAATACATGTATATCAAATTCAAAACCAAAAATTCTCTGCTAATTATCTATCAACTCACCAAGTGTAAGCTCAGCTACAATCCATTTAGCTCAAACCATAGCTGTTTATCATCACTCACCTTTCTAACTGTCTATCCACTCACCTAGTGGTGCTCAGCTACAATCCATTTAGCACAGGCCATAGCTGTTTATCATAACGAACTCAGCTCATTGTCTGTCAACTCACCTAGTGGTAGCTCAGCTACCACTTGTCGTAGCTAAGCTACCATCCATTTAATACAGGCTAAATAACCACGTGTGGTTATTTGGTAAATATAATGAGGGTCATTGTCAAAGTCCTCAAAAAATCCTATAAAACATACATCCTGCTTATAAGTGGAGCAACTTTTAGCCCACTATGTAGTGCATGGAAAATTTAACTAGTTTAGCCAGTCATTGTGTGTCATACTTGTGAAACAGGTATACCATACATGTAAATATAATGACTTGAACATAGTCTGCCCTCATTCTATGGAGAAGCTGAGAAGCTGCAAGAGATACGAAAGTGATAACAGTCATTGGTTGTATCAAAAATCTCAGGGTTAGGATGATTGATTGATTGTGTATTGTTTAACGTCCCTCTCGAGAATTTTTCACTCATATGGAGACGCCACCACTTGCCGATGGAGAGCTGCAAATATTGTCCTATATTCGGCACTCAAGGCCGTTGAGCAGGAAGGGATTTTTTCGCGCCAACACCTACTGCGACACGAGACCTCGATCAGCTCATTATTTTGCAACTCTAGAGCAGATGCCTTAAACACTGCGCCATGCGGGAGACGGTAAGGGATGAAAAAGACTGAATACTTGTGTGTGAAGGACTTGAAAAAATATAGTCACTTTTAAAAAAATTATCCTTGAGTAGTGCATTGGAAGTAATTTCACTCTCACGTTTATTTTGCAATTGGAATTACTTTATTTAGAGGAAATAACTCTTTTTAAATTTGTTTTGAAATATTTTGAATGTTTATAAATAATCATTTTGTGTAAGGAGACATTTCCCGTTACATAAATATTAACAAAACTGAACAACATGAACCATCTTCAGGAGCGTTCGTCGCCCGAATGGCGCAGTGGTAATAAAGAGCATCAGCTTTAGAGTCGCAGAATAAGGAGTTGATCCTTACCTTGCAGGTTCGAATCCCACCGTGGGCCGTGGAGGCCGTTCCTTCGGATGAGACAGTATAAACCGAGGTCCCGTGTCGCTTTAGGTGCTGGCACAAAAAATCCCCTACCTGCTCAATTGCCCTATATTCATCAATGCTCAATATTTACATCACTATTGGGTAATTTTATGCATTTTACACGTGTATTTTTCTCTCCATTTTTATTGACTTTGTCATTTCGCGTTTATGAAGGTTTGAGACATAGTATCTAGAACTGAGAGTTGGTACACCTGTACAAAAATGTTAACTGCAGTTTAAAAATATTCATAATAACTAAAAACAAAATCACCAAGTATAACAAATTAAAGTTTTTTTTTATAGATAGTCCCTACAAATCCAAGAGTCGTGCAGTAACCCTATGAAAAATCGTTGCATCAAGGTTACACATTATTTTTTTCATTATACATGTATGTAGCAAATTGAATTTGAGTTTATAGCAATTTAAAAGGAAACAAATTTTTCTTTTCAACAGAGGTATGCCTTTTTTTATTAAACACAGGGCGTTACAAAGCAGTTATCGTAAATCTATTTATCCCTTGGGAGTAATGAGTTGACATGCATCTCGTTAAAGATTAAGGATCAAATTCATAATAATTTCATTTATTAAAAAAAGTATAATTAGCCACTTATATTTTAATTCTAAATATGCTAAATGTCTAAGCAAATTTTGAACACCTCTTAGATACATAAGATATTGGTGATTTGGCACCTTGTCTGAAAAACCCAGAGGGGGTATTTGTCTTTTTTGGACAGTTCCAGTTAATTAAGATTGAAATGTGTATTATTGCAAGATTCTATAATGATCATACTAATGCACCAGTAATATTACATAGCTTTTCAATTATACTTAATACAAGACAATAATGCATTTTACTGCAGATATTTGATTTTCTTCACTTTTTTGTGTCTACATTCAGCAACAAACAGATTGTCATTCGTATCTAAACACAGTCCCCATGGTCTTCTTAGTCCAAAAGTAGGTTGTGTCTATCGGCCGTAAGGATGTGACTCTGACTGTCTGTAGCGATTCCTTGTGGACTGAATGGCTCGTTCTTTGGAGCAGGAGTATGTCCAATGTACCTAAATCTCAGTTTCCCGGCCTGATTGACCACCACTACTGCTCCAGTTTCATCATCAGACACACAGATATCCTGGTTCGTGTTCTCAGTAATAAATTTGTAATAAATAGAGTTAGGAGAAAAGAGAAATTTACCTTTATCATCGAACTGAATGGTTTGTTTCTCTGTAGAGCCAGAGTAACGAACAACTTTTGATTGTTTGTCACCATCACTGTCCATGATAACCAGGAGGTCACCAGAGGAAGTACCAGTGATACCTTTTGGTATCCAGTTCTGTAATCTGATCACCTCTTCTATCTTCTCATTCTTCACAATGTTCACAGTTCTATCTCTGTAATCAGTATAAACTAAATCTCCACTTTTTATTACTGCTATGTTATATTGCCAGTTGCCTGACTTGGTTGTGATTGACTTGAGAAGTGATCCCTGGTTGATGCTGTAGAGTTCCATGGTACTGTCATCTCCACTTATCCAGATTTCTTCATCACTCAGACGGGCCACATTGTTTATGTAAGCATACCTATTTTTTATGGTGGCGACAGTCTTTGGTTCATCAAGCAACTGTTTGACTGGGGATGAGGATCCAGCTTCTGCTGATTTTGGTGTTGTCTTCATGCTGTAGCCATGTTTATCTGTTGCTAAAGAACTTGATGATAAGGCTCCGAAAAATTCACTCATTGCTTCTTCTTTGATTTTTCCTGGAATAAATTTAGGTAAAAACGGCATAATTTTGTGAGGAAGATTTCTGTATATGTGTACATTTGATGTTACACTATACAGTTTGGACATGCCATTGGTATCTATAGCAGTTTTCATTGATTTGATTTCCTTCTTGATGTCACAAATGTTCTTGTTAATTTCATTCAGATGTTTCTGTATAGTTTGTATCTGTGTGTTTTCATTTTATAAACTTCTTCTTTAAGTTTCTTGACAAGTTTGTCAATTTCTCTGTGCCAGTCCTCTCCATGTTTTGTTATGGATGATGAGAGATCTTCATATTCCTTTTCTAACTGACTCATTCTATTTTGTACATCATAGGCAATGTCCTGGTAGGTTGGATAAATTGTTTCATTTAATTCCTTTCTCTCTTTTATAATCATATCCTTCTTTTCATACAGAACTCGCAAGAATTTACACAATTCATGACCTAAATGTTGATTAGATTCAAGGCAGTTGCTACATACAGGAATGTCACATTTTTACAGTACATTTCACATCGCTCCTTTTCATGAGATGTACATTCCGGGTAGAGAGGGTAGATTTTCTGTCCTTGAAGTCAACAATTTTATGAGGTTTTGATAGACCAGTAGAGAAGTGTTCTCCCACACAGGTCTTACACAGGTTGACAAGACATGTATCACAGTGCATCTGAACCACAGCGGTCTCACACAGGTCACATCGCATCACGTCCTGGGCACTGGTAACGGGGTCCATAATTATGCTAAATGGAAAAAGAAACGCAGGGTAAACTTTTGAGGCGAATCAAATTCATTTTTCTTTTTATCATTTTCAGTATTCCTTTTAAAATCATCTTTAAAGAAAATGTTACCAAAGTTTTATTTGATTTTGTATTATAATTCATGAGTCATTGAAACTCATATGACGATACCCCTAAGAACTGAAAATCGAAATCTCTCATTGTCTTCAATGTCTCCCCCGCGTATCTGTTACAGCCTTGATTCTCTTTTGCATGGAATTCATGAGATTTTTTATCTTTCAAACCCTAGTTATGCCGGGCATGGGTAACAACGCCGAAAAATTAGTCAAACGACACGGGCATCCACCAGTGAGAGGAACACAATCGTGAAGTTGACTCGCTCAAAAACTCAAATTGCGCATTGGTGTCTTTAAATTTTGGGTTGAATTAATAATTATAATAGTCTACTGTATTAACAGGGGTTTTTGTGGATTAAACATGCGGCAGCACAAATAACCCAGTCATAACGTGACTCTGTTTCGCGTAAACGTCATCGTCACGGTTGGAAGGAAACCATTCTAGGTCCTCTGAAAACGTTAACACGTTCTATAGGGGAAAATTAGCAAGAAACTGTTTAGTAACCCGCTGTTGCCTTAGGCCTTACTTAAGCAATTCGAAAATCACATCCCATGGAACTTCCGTAAACTGTACGAAGATTACAAAAAATTCATATCGTCTGTGAATATTGAAAAACAATGCGTGTTCCTTAGATTCACCAATTAGCACAACAAGATTTGTTTACAAACTCGCCATCAATTTGCACTTGTTTTGGGCTGTTTAGCGTTTTCCTTACGTGACGTCATTCATTTTACGATTGAGTTATTCAGAACACTGATTTTGGTGCATAGTAGCTAACATTCTCATCTGACAATTTATCATAATTTTCGGGGGGACGAGGCCACTATAGATAATTCAATTTGCACATTGAAACATATAAGAAAACACTAAAAATCTTCTTCTCAAGAACCACCGGGCAAGAAAGTTGAAACTTATGTTGTCGCATCCTGGGGGTAGTGTATATTTTAAATTGTTCGAATAATGACCCCCGGGGATAGGGCGTGGTCACAATAAGTATTACAGAGAGGGAAATCTGTAAAATAACAGAATGTCTAAAGTTATTCAGGTGAGCGATTTTGTCCATGAGTCTCTTGTTAAAAAACTTCTTCTCAAGAACCACTTCATAGATACATGTAGAAACGTTTTTGAAAACTTTCTGACATAATGTACATTTCTGACATAATGTTCAAATCTCGAAGCCCGAGGGTAGCATGGGTTCATAATGGGCAATCAAAGTTTTACATAGAAATGTATAGGAAAAATCTTTAAATATCTTTTCAAGAAGTGCAAAAGCATTATTGGTGATAATTAATCAGAAGTGTTCCTTGGTAGTGTAGATTTTTGTTTGAAGTATATTCAATTCATGACCCTTGGGGGTAGGGTGGGGCCACGGCATCAAAGAATAACAAATATAAATAAAGTAAACTTTAAAATCTTCTCAAGAACAGTACAGCCATGATTGGATATATTTAAATAGAAGCATCCTTAGCTTGTGTAAATTCAAGTTTGTTCAAAACAAGATCCCAAGGCAAGGATTTAGATCAGAATGGGCATTTAAAGATTTACATAGAAATATATAGGGGACAATTTTTTTTTAAAATCTTCTCAAGAACTGTAAAGCAATGATTAGACATATGTATATGTTAGCATCCTCAAGAAGTTTAATTTTTGAAAAGATTGTTCATATCATGACCCTCATGCTTAGGGAGAAGCCAAAATTGGTGATCAAAGTTTAACAGGAGAATGCATAGCTATAGGATACATCGTTAAAATCTTCTTACCAAGAAAGGAAAATTCATGATTTGTCAGTCATATTAATTCAGAAGCATTCTCAGGTAAGGTATATTTGAAATTAACCAAATCATATTCACTTCCGGGTAGGAGGGGGCATAATACATCAAACATATGGAAATCTTTTTTTGAGAGCTATGATTAGTTAAAAAAAACAAGATGTGTTTGTGAAACACTGATGCCCCCGTATGGCAACATAGCGAAGGTTAACCTTTCTCAAATACAAATCAAATATGTTGGTACTTAAAGTAAGGCCTTTTCACAAGATATACAAATGTTAAATATAAAAACCAAGCACCACCTGTTCAAGGGTTATGACCAAGGTTAACATTTTAAAAGGTAGGACAAACTCCGGGATCAAGGTCAAAAGGTCGAGGTTGCTGGTTTCTAAAGAAAAGCCTTGTCTAAAAAAATACATATGGGAAGTATGAAAGCGCTGGCCCTTACCGTTCAAAAGTTATGGTCAGTTTTAAAGTTTGTAAAAAGGAGGTCAAACTCCAAGATCAAGGTCAAAGGGTCAAGGTTCTTGATATCCAAGGAAAGGTCTTGTCACAAGAATTACATATGTGAAACATGAAAGCTCCAGCCCCTATTGTTCAAAAGTTATGTCAAAGATTAAAGTTTGTAAAAAGTAGGTCAAACTCCAAGGTCAAGGTCAAAAGGTCAAAATTGTTGATATCCAATGAAAGGTCTTCTCACAAGGATGACATATTTAAAGTTTGAAAGCCCTAGCACTCACCGTTTAAAAGTTATGGCCAAGGTTAAAGTTTTTCCAAAAAAGAATTGATATTTGAAATATGAAATTCCTAGTATCTACCATTTAAAAATTAGGGCCAAAAGAAAACTTTGGAATTTTTGTGTAAAAATAGGTCAAACTCCAAGGTCAAGGTCAAAGGGTCAAGGTTCTTCATATCAAATGAAAGGTCTTGTCAAAAGGATTTTATATGTGAAGTATAAAAACCCTAGTTCTAACCCTTCAAAAATGTTCAAGGTCTGCTTTTTTTAAGTAGGTCGATCTCAAAGGTCAAGGTCAAAGTGTCAAGTTCTTGTTATACAATGGAGGGACTTCTTACAAGGATTACATATATGTAATATGAAAGCCTTATTCCTTATCGTTCAAAAGTTATGGCCAAGGTTAAAGTTTTTCACAAGTTAAGTACGGAAATTTACAAGGTCAAAAGGTCAAATTTGGTGGTACCCAAATAAAGGTCTTGACGCAAGGAATACACTTGTGAAATATAAAAGTCATAGCTCCCTAAATCAAAAGTTATGGGCACCTTCTTTGACCTACTTTTCAAAAACTTTGACCTTAGCAACAACTTTGGAACAGTAGATACCAGGACTTTCAAATTTCACATGTATTTTTTGTGGCAAGACCTTTCATTTGATACCAACAACCTTGACCTTTTGACCTTGACCTTGGAGATTTTTTGTACTTATGAGAAAACTTTAACCTTGACCATCACTTTCGAATGGTAAGGGCTAGGGCTTTCATACTTCACATGTGTAATTCTTTTGTTGAGACTTCTTATTGGATACCAAGAACGTTAACCCTTTGATCTTGACCTTAGAGTTCAGTGATAATTTCTAAATAGATGACTTATGATAGGGCGTTCATATTAGACACAAAATGTCATTTAAAAAGACACCGAAAGCGGGGGACCACACTTCTTTGAATTGCTTGTATTAATTTGTTTTTTTTTTCAAATAGTAATTTGTTTAACAGATTAGTAATTTGTCATAACAAATTATTAATTTGTTTACCAATTAATATTTTGTTTTAACAGATGAGATGATAAATTTGCTTTTCAGTATGTCCAAAATTTTATTTTTACAATAGCTCCAAAACTATGTGAGGTATAAAATTAAAACTTTTACAGTCTATAATATATCATTGATTAACAGATAGAACGTATCATTTGAAAATAAATATTTTTGAAAAAAAATATTTTTTGACAGAAAATATATCAAAAGTCTTGCATATTTTTTTTAAATGCACCTGTTTGATCCTGTACTTTTAATAAAAATCATCATTGTAGAAATAATGAAGGGCAAGTTCGACGTGAATGGTCTCTGAAAGGCTGCTGTTGAAAGCATGATATGACAAGACTCATATAAAACCCACTCGCCATTTGCATTGTACTTTCGGTTTCAAGTCCCAACAAACAGGAAAAACAACTTTCCAGGGGCTATCGAAGTCCTATATTTGCCTTTCATTGATAAGCATATTTTGTTTCTGCAATGATGAACGAATTTCACTAAAAGTTAAGATGTACTTAGATGTATTTTGTAAAATGCATTTTTTAAAATAATTTTTTCGATAAATATTCTTTTTTTAAGTGTATGTTTTCAAGGTGATACGTTCTCTCTGTTAATCAATGACATATTTATAAACTGTAAAAACTTTAACTTTATAAACCACAAAGTCTTGGAGATATTGTAAAAATAATTTTTTGGTCATGCTGGCCTTTGGTTAAACCTTAAAACAAATCATCAATTTGTTAAAACAAATTCTTAATTTTTCATCACAAATTCCAAATTAGCTATAACAAATTATCAATCTGATTTTACAAAATATGTGCTCTGGTATTGTCCATGGGCCTCTTGTTTAGTATAGATTTGACATATAAAGAAAACTATTTTAAAAGGTATATAAAAAATCTTTATGTCTATAGTTAAAGCTGGAACTACCGGCTAACACGTTTCTTACCTGACTTCAGTAATGGCAGCCGTCCTGTTGATCGATCTCCAACAATCGCAACTTCTCGGGCCTTTCCGATTAGCAGAAAAATGTATTACGTAGACGCCATGACAACCCCCTTTTCACGATCTTTGAAATAAATGCATGGAGGCCATTAATCTGTGGAATATGGAGTTTAACTTTATTCAATGTAATGATATTACCTAAAATATACTATAGAAGGGACTTCTAATACCGACCATCCTATACTTGAATAAACAGGAAATTTTTAACATCCGGTGATGTACACTTTCGAGGTTTTTTTTCGCCTTCTGACGGAAAGACCTGAGATGACGCGATTGCGATCCCCAAGTGCAGTCTCTATACACTCTGTAGACTGTGCCTGTCTGATCCTCGATATACAGACAGGTGACCTGTAATGTAAATGGGCGCGCACATTGGCTGATAAAAGAGCATGGACCAATGCCGAAAACATCAAAAACCTGCAAAAATCCAATCCAGGCAATCAAAATAAATATAGAGGGAGTCATGAAATTACTCAGCAAGGTAAATCCATCTAAAGCATCAGGGCCAGACAACATACCAAACAGGATTCTCAAGGAATTTGCAGAACAACTGGCACCAAGTCTAGCAACAATCTTCCAGCTATCACTAGACTCAGGAGAACTCCCAACGGACTGGCGGGATGCTAACATCTCATGTATATATAAAAAGGGCGACAAACACCAAGCTGAGAACTACAGGCCTGTGTCATTAACATCAGTATCTAGCAAATTATTGGAACATATCATCTGTCGACACATACTGAAACACCTAGAAAAAAACAAAATTTTAACAACGCTTAATCATGACTTCAGATCTGGGTTCTCCTGTGAGACACAACTTCTAACAACAATGAACGACCTGCTGATAAATTATGACAAAGGAAAAAAACAGATTTGGCAATTTTGGACTTCTCTAAAGCTTTTGACACTGTTCCACATCAGAAACTACTCCATAAACTCAGTCAGTACGGCATAAGAGGAAGTACACTATCATGGCTAACATCATTCCTTACAAGAAGGACAATGAGAACAGTAGTAGAGGGCGAGAAATCAGAGGCGGTGTCAGTGGAGTCCGGGGTGCCGCAAGGCACAGTCCTCGGGCCGCTGCTCTTTTTATGCCACATTAACGACCTCCCAGACTCCGTAACATCACAAGTCCGACTGTTCGCAGACGATTGCCTCTTATACCGACAAATCAACAACTATGGAGATCAGGAAAAACTACAGGAAGACCTTCACAACTTGCAAAAGTGGGACAATGACTGGGGTATGCGTTTCAACGCCAAAAAATGCTACATCATGAGCATACGCCAAAAAAACAGCAAATTCTATACACTGGACAATCACGTGCTGGAAGAGGTTGAAAATAACCCCTATCTTGGACTACAAATTTCGTCAGACTTAAAGTGGTCAACTCACATCAACAAGATCACTAAAAAAGCTCATTCAACATTAGGATTTCTCCGACGAAATTTATCACACCGTACCGAGAACTGCAGGAAAACAGCCTACGTCTCCATGGTGCGATCAACACTTGAATACGGATCAATAGTCTGGGACCCATTTCAAAAATAGGACATAGATAAGCTCGAACGTGTCCAACGCAAAGCCATCCGTTTCATAAAACGAGACTAACACAACAGGGAAGAGGGCTTCATCACCACCAAGGCCAAGGAACTGGACTTACAACCGCTCCAGCATAGAAGGACCAGCTTGCGACTCATTATGCTCTATAAGGTGGTTGAGGGGTTGGTGCCAGGGCTACCAACTCACAACTTCATTCAAAAAGCTAAGCCTAGACGCCAAATCAAATTAAAAACATTCGATAATTGTGAAAATACAAACATTCTTTCATCTCAAGTCAAAAATAACAGCAAGTGTCTCGAAACAACATCTACGAAAACTAACCAATACCGCTCATCATTCTTTGTGGACACAGTCATCAAATGGAACCATCTGGAGGACAATATAGTTTGCGCTAAGTCTGTCGAGGCCTTCAAGACCGCCCTCGACAGCTTGTGTCAATAAGTCCGACACGCGCTCTCTCACCGTCGTAGAAAAGCCAGTATTGGTCACTTCGACGTATAAATACAGATACAGATACAGATACAGAACTCACCCTGACGTAGAAATTTAAAGAGGCTGGGTGGTCGTGGTCATTTTTAGACTATTTTGATCTCCATTAGAAGAATAGCTCCATATAAAGATATAATAAAATGATCAAAATTTAAAGCTAAAATGTATGAAATTTTTCTTTGCGAAATGATAGTTGACAGCTTTACATATCATATCCCAAAATTTAAGTTATATTTGATGGTTAATAAAAAGATAATTAGTTGACCCACTAGCCTCCTTAAATGTCTCGGTCAATAGCAAAAGTTATCCATTAAAACAGTAACAATGTATGCTGTGATAAACAATTAAAATATTGTGCTGAACTGATGATCTTTAGAGCTGAAAAGGCTTTTCAAAAAGACCATAGCTACCTGGTTGAACATGACAAACTTTGAAAGGTAAAAAATATGGTTTGTGCTAAATGGGTGGTAGCTGAGCTACCACTAGGTGAGTCCATAGACAATTAGCAGTAAGTGATGATAAACAGCTACGTGTATGGTTTGTGCTAAATGGATGGTAGCACTGGCGGATTTAGAGGGGGCCCAGGGGGCCCGGGCTCCCCTTTTGAGTCCAAAAAATACACAATATTTGACAAATCAATGTTTTTTGGCGTGGCGTGGGCCCCTACCCTGACCTCAAACTGGTTGCCCCCCCCCCTTTCAAAAGTTCTGAATCCGCTACTGGGAAGCTGAGCTACCACTAAGTGAGTTGATAGACATTTAGCAGAGTAAGTGCTTATAAACAGCTATGGCTTATGCTAAATGCATGGTAGCTCAGCTACCACTAGGTGAGTGCATGATATAATTAATTCCCATGGGAATTCCGAAGACAACAAACATATTAGTAATGAAGACCTCAGCAAAGCTGGGACATCTATAATCATAAATGATCCAATGCATGAGTCCCTTGGTACACGCTCAAAAACATTTTCAAAGTGCGTTTAGAGTGTACATAAACATTTTACCATGGGGACTTTTAACGCACTTTGAAAAAAAATATGTATAAACAAAAAATTCTAGGCTTAGATTTAAGTAATGGAGCGAATCAATTTGTTTTAATTAAATCTTTCGAAAAACGGTTAAATTTGCATGTACTCATTTAACCTCATTGGGAACAAGTAGAAGACCTCTCGGCCCAACTCTTTTTTTTCTTATACATTGTACATAGCCGTCGGTAGCAAACTAAAAGTGGACACCCCCCCTTCAAAGGTAAGCCCCGATTTTCAATATCTATATATCTTTGCGAAACATCTGTGTGTCTTAGACCCCCCCCCCTCCTGGTACCGATACATATGCTACACCCAAATGTATGTATTTGTATAACTGGTATGATGTTAAAAACTTTCAGTAAATTTTACTTTACATATAAAATGCATGCAAATTAGAAAAATTAAGTATAGTAAAACATTTAAGAGAAAAAGAATTTTCAAAGTATGGATAAATCAAAATCGCTCACTTTCACATTCTGAAGTGACCTTATCACCAAAGAGTTATCAAACGGGTTCAATCATTTATCATATCTAAGATTTGCAAGAATATTGACCAAGCCATACACATTTTTTCAAAGTGCGTTAATATGGTCGATATTAACTTACTTATAAAACAATTTTTTTTCAAAGTGCGTATTTTTGCAATGTGTGTTGTAACAGTCCCTTCCTACAAGAAGGATATGGAGATAACGAATAGTATTCAATTTCAAAGTCCATAAAACAATACAAAATAAGAGCAGAGCAAACACAGACCTCCGAAACATCAGAGGTGGGATCAGGTGCCATGGAGGAGTGAGCACCCCTGCTGACCGGTCACACCCGCCGTATGCTCCTTGTCATGATCAGGAAATAACGGAAAAATCCGTCGTCAATTCAGTTTATAAATAATGGACTAACAATTAGTATGAAAACGTCAGTCAGCATTTGACTCAATGATAAATTATATTTGCTGACAAGGTCATTGTAACGACCATAGAACTTACAAAATGATGACTTTAAACGAGACTGTTGATATTCTTTCATCAATTTGCTTGTCAATAATTTACCTCGTTTTAGAAATTGTTAATACGTAGAGCAAGCTCTTGCGTATCGAATCAACTGAGATATATTCACTCCGTATGCAGGTGATGAAGGTATATTCTGCATAAGTACGGGAAGTTGACGATAGAAAAGTTAAAGTCATCACGTTTATCATATGGCTTGGTTGTTAGATTACCATTAACGTCTTTTTCAAGTAAAATATCCAAGTATGAAACAGATGTGTCAGACTCTGTGGTATCTTTTACCTCAAGCTCACCAGGATATATTGTATCGACATAGGAATGGAAATTACTATTGTTAATTGACAGTACGTCGTCGATATATCTAAATGTCAAGTTGAAGGCCACCGCAAGTGTTTTCTACTTTTCACGCATAAGATTTTGCACATATTCTGCTTCATATGAATGTAAAAATAGGTCCGCCAATAACGGAGCGCAATTGGTACCCATGAGAATTCAGAATGTGTTTTAACAAAATAATTTTGCAAATGACCAATGACCAGGTAAGTAAATTTAAGAGTTCCATTTTTTATTAAAAAAGCAAATGTCAATGATATCAAAAAGCCTGGGCTTTAATTTATCGTAGGAAATGGTTGTATATAATGTTGAAAAGTCGTAAGTTTTTAAGCTGTTGATTTTGGTAAAATCTTGTGATTTCAAATTGTCCAAAAGTTCTTTGGAATTTTTGAGTATCCACATCTGATTCACACCACTTCTTGAATATATTGTTGCACAGTACTCCTGAAGTTTCTCATTCACTACTGTCAATATCTTAATGAGGAACAACGAAAGAGGCTTGGTTGAACATTTACTGGAACCCGCAATGTATCTTTGTTTGTAAGGATTTTTAATGAAGTTTCGGAATCCAATATATATATTGGGTAGTTCAAATTCCTTTTGGCTGTGTGACGTGGAATATTAAAAATATTTAAAACTGACATTTGATTTTGAAGAATTTCTTCCTTAGAAAGGGAAGTATGAGTATAAGTAGGATTACCACTTGTAGAATTAAATCTAAATTCTTCTAAAATACAATTTATATAATGAGCTTTACAAACGAAGACAATGTTGTTACCTGCT